AGGGAGAGGGAGGTGTGAGCGATGGCCCAGGCGTGGAAGATGGAAGTGACTCAGGAGAGGCGGGAAGTTCTAACAATAGATGCTAACGACGTGGATGTTTGATGATATAAGACACAAGACAAAATTTCCTAAGAAAGAGTGACTACCTTCTAGAAGGTTCCCTGCAGTGGCGTTCCTCACGGCAAGTCCCACAGAGTTTAAGAAGCTGAAGCCCTGCAGCATGTTTGGAAACCGACGCTGCTGCTGTGGCACTGGGCTCCCCTTGTCCTGTGTGCTCGGCGGGTTCCCGGCCTCGCCAGAGGGGCAGTTTGGCCAGGGCCCCAGAGCTACCAGAGCAGAGGGATCCTGCGGGCACACGTCCCCACGGGGTGCCACGCCCCCGAGCACAGGCTCCACTCCTTTGCATCCTCAGCAGCAGCCTGGCCCCAGGACCGGGTAAGCGCGCAGGGAACCCCACGAGGCGGGCTGCTCCCAGTTCAGGGCAAAGCGTCTCCTGCACAGAAGCGGAGCCACAGCAGCTACCGTCCTGGCCACCTTTCCTCAGAGACGTCCTCGGCGGGGGGGGGGTGAGCCTTTCTCCTGTGGCCCCTCAGGATCTGGGAAGTTCAGTGATTGTCATTAAAGCTCAGGAGTGACTGTTCCCACAGTGGCTGGCCCATTGCCACCCTGAGGCTCTATGGGCCGCGGCCGTGGGGCTGGGCTGAACTGCAGCCCGGCTGGAGAGAATCCGGTTCCTAAACCCCAGGCCAGAGCCTGGACCGACCGGCCAGTGTGCATTGGGGAAGCGCAGCAGGACTGGCTGCCGTGGGCACAGTGCCTAGCGCTTCAGCAGTCCCCGAGGCCGCGGGGCCACGGGACGGTCCGTGGGTGAAGAGACAGAATGAGGGGGTTCTGCATAGATTTGGGACAAAGTGAAAATGGGGGGCACTCTGCTTGCAGAATTACAGAAAACTGGTGGGAGGGACTCAACAGGAGGGAAAAAGAGGGAGGTAAGGAAAGGACAGGAAGGAATTCATCCCGAGAAAAACTGATTCCACTCACCCCAAATGGGGCGGTGCACCCCCGAGACAGAGCCACCAGGACTCCCCTGGGAGGGAGGCTGAACGTGGGAGCGACTGCAATATCGTGGGAAGGATTTAAACATGTACAGGAAGATGCAGCGGTGAGACGCTGGTGAACACCAACATGACACGAGGGCAGAGCGGCTGGCGGCTGTGGCTCATGGGCGTGAACGTCTGGCCTCCACGCGAGTCGAGTTCCAGCTCCCAGGGAAACGTGACGGGCGGCCCCGCTGCTGCGCCCCGAGTTCACACGGCCTTTTTTAAAGTTGAATTTATTGGGCTGACATTGGTTAACAAAATTATACAGGTTCCAGGTGGACAAGTCCATCACACGTCACCTGTACACTGTGCTGTGTGTTCACCACCCAAGTCAAGTCTCCTTCCATCACCATTTGTCCCCCTTTTCCCGCTCCTACCTCCCCCAAACCCTCCCTGGTAATCACCGCAGTGTTGTCTTGACTATGAGTTTTTTTTGGTTTTTGCTTAATCCCTTCACCCAGCCCACAGCCCCTCCCCTCTGACAGCTGTCAGTCAGTTCTCTGTGTGTCTGAGTCTGCTCCTGTTTTGTCAGGCACCTTCTTAGAGGAAAGAAGCAGACGGAGGCTTTGTGAACAGGCCTGACCACAGGCTGGGGACCTCTGCCTGTCCACACCCTGCACCTCCTCTCACCCACCGAGATAACTTGGGAGCCAGCCCATCAGTGTGGGCTCCTCGCGGGGTTGGGGGGAAGGGTTTAACAATAAAAGTTGTATTTTCCTATATACCCCCCTCCCCAACACACACACATGCATGCTATCATCCATGAGCTTCCATGAGGAGAGATCACCACTTTCTCACCAAACCAGGAAATATGCTTTGCTGCTTAGTTTGTTGGCAACACCCCGCGGAGTCTGGTCCATAAGTCAGACTACCTGGGCCCGGAGACCCGACCCTGGGCTCCACCTGCGACATGCACTGCGCCACAGGCCGCCGGACCTGTGAGCCTCGGGCTGGGTGCACGTGAATATCTCCCTCCCCCACCCTGAGCGGAGGAGAGCGCCAGGAGCACGATGCAGGGCTGCTGCGGGCAGAGGCACACAAGCAGCTGCTGGTATTAGCGCATGGAGTTTGAGGTCATTCGGTTTCTGGTCGACCAGTTAGCTGGTCAGGATTCAGTGTCAGTTGGTTAAATTCTATTCTAGACTCAGGACACAAAGATTCTGAGGAATAAGACATGGTGCTTGTCCAGCTCACAGTGAGGAACTGCTGGGCAAAGGGGACAGTGGGATGGAAATAAAGCAGATTAGTGCTCACTCCCTGGTGACACCTGAGGAAATGCTGACCTCTGACCACACCCCTCAGCCAGACACAGCAGCAGGCAAGGGGGCCCGACGGGCTCTGAGACAAACAGCGTATTTTGTAGGTCATGAAGTCCATCCGATCATCATCACTGCTGAGTGTCATAGAAACTCTATGTAGCCCCACTTTTGCAGGTGGGCAAACAGGCCCAAGTGAGCTCAGGTAGGGAGCCAACGGGAGGGGAACGATGGTTGTAAGCAGAAAAGCCATTTCTCGGGCTCCGAAGCCAACTATTACCCACACATGATGTTCCGAAGTCCACACTAGCTCTTCAAACAGACATTGATCTGGTTTTTATCACAAAATGCCCTCATGTCTTTGAAGTCTCATCTGCTTCTCTTTTCTGTGTGAGGAGCTAAGATCTGAATAAACCCTTTCATCTGGATTTCAAAAGCCCTTATCCTCACAGTGCAGGCGCTCCATAGGCAGCTGATAGCTGATAAATAAACAGAAACTCCTCCCTCCAGCTAAAAATACACGCACCCGTGGGCTGCTCCTGCCGGTTCTCAATCATTCCAGAGGGCGGGCTGGGAGATTTGTCATGATAAGAGACCCCCAAATGCCATTAAGCCTTTTTAGAGGATGAAAGCGCAGTTTCAAAGGGGTGAGATGAGCCCCACCCCCGCTCACCTCCTCCTGTGAAATACAACGGTGTTATCATGAGCAGCCACAGCAGCCACGCCGTGAAATCATTGAGAGTAATTCTGTCTTTTCGGTGGTTAGAAATTGTCTGGGGATGCGCAGGGATGGAGGACCTGAGAGGCGTCTGACCTACTTAAACAGGGAAAGAGCAGTGGCACAGCCAAGGCTGTGGGTGCAGGGCTGCCCAGGCCGCGGGGCGGGTGTGCCTGGCGGTGACCGAGGGCCGCCGGCCTGCAGAGAGGGGCTGGGCGGGGCCTGGGCGCTCGCAAGCATCTGTGCTGTCATGCATCCCAGCTCTGGTTTTCCTCTCCGTCCCCTCTGCTCATCGTCAGTAGACTTGTAAACACAGACGCGGTGGGTTTGGTTGCTATTTAAAAAGCAGTCAAAATAAATGCTCGGTTAAAAGAAATATGGGAACACCAATCTAGCCAGCCTAACTTATTAAAGCCTCAGGGCACCCAGTCCTCTTCAAGTGTCTTTGATGTTTTCCCGGAGTTCTGCTTGGGAGCCAGGAGGGTGAGGGCCTGCGAGGCAGGTGCCCATGTCACAGCCAGCAGCCCAGGCGCCCGGAGCACCTGGACAGGGCCTGGTTTGGAAACGTGACTCATGAACACGCACAGGCCTGCCCTGAGGCCAGGGAGCCGCGGCTGCTCCTCACCAGCATGGCCCCCTAATAAAGTTCTGGCCCTGCTTTCACTGCGGGAAGAGTTCAATCCTGAGAAGGTAGGGCTTGACCAGAAGGTAGAAAAGCCTGGGATGTGGCCCAGGAGTCTGCCCGATGGGACTGAGTTGGTGCAGCGCGCACTGGAGGCTGTGTGTGCCTGTGTGTGTGTGTGTGTGTGTGTGTGTGTTGGGGGGGGTCGGTTAAGGTCTTTGGGAAGCGATTTGTGGGCGAAATAATTCCCGAGAGACTGCTCACTGCGAACACGCAGTGCGGGGCGGGAGCTCTGAACGGCCGGCTCTGCGTGGAGCCCATTTGACTGGGGTCCAAGCCAAGCATCCCCGCCCGCTGCCCGGTGCACGGGGTCCCCTTGGGCGAGTGGACTGAGCAGCCTGGAGGGTATTGGTCTGACCTCTACGCCTGCTGCTGATTCGCACAGTGGCCTGAGAGCCTTGCTCCACTGTGGGCGACACTTCCTGGTGGAAACTCTCAGAAACTCATTCACGATCATAAAAATGAAAAGAAAAAGAAGAATAAAAATGATTCAGGGGCCCTGCATCATGGCAATGGATGAGAAGCTGTCAGAGACCAGCCAGACCCTTTGGTCTGTCCAGCCACCTGTGTCCACAGGGGCCTCGTGGTCCTTCCTCCATAGACCTGCTCCCGGCCGGCTTCTTTCTGAGGAAAGATCTGCTCCCCCCACCACCCCCCACATATGCTCTCAGCCCTGCCCCTAGTTCAGCAGTTCTCAACCTGTGGGTCGCGACCCCTTTGGGGGTCGAATGACCCTTTCACAGGGGTCGCCGAAGACCATCGGAAAACACATATATAATTACATATTGTTTTTGTGATTAGTCACTATGCTTTAATTATGTTCAATTTGTAACAATGAAATTGGGGGTCGCGGCAGTAGGAAGGTTGAGAACCACTGCCCTAGTCAATCAGGGCACTGAGCCCAGGGCCACAGAACTAGCCCCGGGCGGAGGCGAGAGGATGGCTGTGCAGTGCCAGTCAGCACTGGAGCCATGTGACCCCGGGTGCTCCGCCGTCCTGGCTGGGAACAGCAGGGTCCCCCGGAATCCAAGGGAAAGCAGCCAATGGCGTGGAGAGAATGGGGCACGCGGCTGCTCCCGCTCTAGCCTGCCTGCTGGGCCTGTGAGGGTGGCGAGGGCGGGAGCTGTCCCAGCTGGTGTGGGGCTCACCTGGCGGTAGAAGCACAGTGACCAGACAGGCCATCCATCTGAAGGGATTTTCCCATAAAGAATGTTCAGGAGTCAGAAAGAACTCGCACGAGGCTGTGGCTGGGTACATATTTAATTAACATATGTGATCGGTTACAAAGTCATGCGGTGCCTTATTTACCAAAAAGCAGGAGTCACGCAGTACACAGTGTGTTAGATATAAAATCAGAAGATAAACACATTTCTTCCTAAATGAAATCTGACAATGGGTTTCCAAAACCTTCATTTCCAGCCTTGCTCCGAGCTGCGTCTCCTGAAGGTGAGTTGCCAGGTGCAGCATTTTAAACATTTAGTTTCCTGAGTCCCGATACTGTGACTTAAATGCTCCAATTACTCCGGCCCAGTGACAAACCCCTCCGCACCCCCAGCCGCACGCTGCCCTGGGCGGGTTGGCGCTTCCAGGGCATCGCAGCTCCGTCCAGTACAACCTGTGCGACGGGGCGGAGAGCGCGACGGCCAGGGAAGGCGGTCTGCTCTGCGACACCCGTCAGGACACCGCGGACCTCACGTCCAGGACCTGCGGGTGGCCTGGGCCTTGGGTGTGGACACCTGGGTGTCAGAGTCCGCGCTCACCCTTTGCTGTTGATGGGGACAGTGGGCTCCAGGTCGCTTTTCTCTAAGCAAGACGCCCCAGGATTTCGAGTGGGGCTCCTCCCCGCTGTGCTGAGTCGTGCAGTGCCTTCCCGCGACCTGCACCTGGACCTGGACCTCGAGGGGAGGCTGCTTTTCAATCCCGAAGCCAGTGGCTCTGACCTGTCTCCTCCGTGGGCCACACTCACTTCCTCACCACTTCCTCTCTCCTTCCCCTCTTCCCACGACCCTTTCTCTCCCACACCTGCTCCCTCCCAGGCACAGGGTCCAGGGCCTGCTGCAGGGAATGACTTCCCTGAGAAATGGTTAGCCTGCGACGTGACTCTCCAATGGTGGGATGTGTGAGGGGCGGGCAGCGTGGCAGAGCCCGGCGGGCGCTCGTTAGTTCACCCGACGGGCTGCTGGGCAGGCTTCCCTGAAGGTCCTGGACGGCTGGTGCTCATTCTCTGGGAGACGGTGGTTGACTCCCGGCTGAACGGGAGTGTGTGCACACCAGCCCGGCAGCACAGGCTGCAGAGGGTCAGAGTGGGAGGCTGTCCTCGCAGAGCTCTTTCTTTTTGCTCTAACACCTGGAACCGCCTTCAGCCCCCGCTATGCAGAGCGCCAGGCGCTCAGGGCTGCGGTGGCGGGATCCTTCCAGACGTCTGATTGTATTGGTTTGAAGGCAAAGTGATGGGACTGCCTTAGTGAGCTCTGGATTTCTGAAGGGGTCTGTCTGGGAGAAGGACGTGTGTGGCAATGTGATTGTGTGTGCACACATGTATGGGTGTGAGTGTATGTGTGTGTGCGCATGTGTACGCACTCACGGGTGCATGTGTGGATGTATGTGTGGCGTATGTGTGTGGGAGTGAGTGGCATGTATGTGTGTGTGTGTGTGTGTGTGTGAGTGAGTGAGTAGGGTGTTCATATGAACAAGTACTGCTTTAGTAGACAAACATGGAACACAGAATCCACAGTCTGAGTCTTGCTTCTGGTTCAACTTAAAACTACCTCAACCCAGGCAGAAAGACTCTGTGACAGCGTCCCTGGCCGAACCCTGTTCCCCCCAAGAAGGAGACACGATGCCCCCGCTCCCCTGACCACTGTCTGCACCCAGGCTGGCTGGCTGCACCCGCACCCTCCGCACCGCCCTCCTTCCTCAGGGGGTTCCTCGGGGAGGGGTCGGCGGGCGGAACCACCGAGAGGCAGGTGGTGCACTGTTTCTTTCCCAGGAAGGGCATCCCAGGTTGTCTAACTGCCCAGAATAAAAGAATGTATTGTCTTTGTGTTACCATGGAGATGCCTAGTAACACAGTTTTTTCTTTTTTCTCTTTTTTCTAAGTTTAAAAATACTTCCAAAAGATTTCAAAGACATTTTCTAGGGCAACTTTGATGTGTTTGCAATTTTTATTAGGGGGTGTGATATCTGTATTCCTCATTGTATTCATACAGTGAAGAGCTTCGTGTGTGTCTATGGCTTGAAATTTTAAGTTGTATGTACATGTATGTACCCATGTCACCGTGTGCCTGGAAGGTGTTCCTTTCTCTAGCCTCCACAGCTGCCCTCGGGGTCTCCTGCCTCTGCCTCCAGGGGTCAGCGTGTGCAAGGTGAACGACAAGTCCAGACACTGGCAGGGCAGGGCTCGAGGTCCACCGGGTTCCGACCACCCACGTCTGTCACTGGGAGCCTCTGGGCAAGCCCTATAATATCTAGCTGATTCTCTGGGCATTTTCAAACATGTGCATAACATATCTGAATTTTTAAGTAAATTTAAAATGTTCTTAAAAATGTTTTGGCATCCAAGGGAAAATGCCTGGCCTAGCCCCTTGGCTGCTGGCTTCCGGCTGCGTGAGAAGGTGAAGGGCTGGGATTTAACGGCAGGTGTGGACGCGGGGGAGGAGGTGCGGGAGGTCCCCGAGCGCTGCCCTGCTGTGTGGTCGCCTTACTGTCCAGGGCTGTGACAGCGTGTCCTTGAAGGGGCTTTCTGGACAAATGTGACCACTCACCCCACAGGGACGGGGCTGGCAGTGGCCTGCGCCGCCCGTGCAGCCTGGCAGCGGGCAGAAGGCTCTGGCCTCGAGGCAGCCTTCGAGGGGACAGGAACAGGAGGAACCTCCCTACACCCTCCTGCAGGCGGATGCGGTGACATAAGGGCTTCACGCTCCTGCTCTGAGGAAACAGCTGCAGGAGCGCGAACGACACGGGAAGGAGAGGGGGGCAGGCGCCAGCACAGAGCAAGGGGACCCTCTGCGGAACAGTCAGGATTTCGTTAGCCCTTCCCAGCACGTTCTCGTTGAACTCACTCAGGGGCCTCCCCTGGTTACCCTCTTACTGGGTTTGCTGTGATTCTCCTTATCACTCCGTCAGGTAAATAATGACTCATCTAATCAGACCTACTGAAGCGAAGACGGCCCACCCAGGACTCACACAGTGAAATGCGGAATGAGGTGTGAACTCAGCAGGCGGCACGGGCAGCGAGGCGGGCGGGGCTGCATGCACTGTGGTGGCAATTCACTAACACGGCAGAACAGGGGGGGAATGGGGTGGCTAAAGGGGTGTTACTTGGCAAAATGCAGGGTATTTTAAAGCTCTCGCTCACTTACAAACCCCCACATCAGTCAAGTCCACTTTCCAAAGACAACGGGGTGTTGTCATCGGCATTTACCGAACAGACAGCGACCAGGGCGTCAGTCGCTCCAGGGGATGGGATTTCCCGATTTCGTATCCAGCCCTCTGGACGTTGGGGTGAGAAACAGCCGCTGCTTTAGTTTGCGGTCTGGTGTTGAAATGTCAGAGTTTTATACGGGCGCGGATTGGAGACAACGCGAACATGGACTCTGTGGGCCCGCACGCTGGAGAAGAGATGCAGCTATGACAGAGCCCGTTGCCGATCTCAGGTCATGGATTTCATACAGAATTTGGAACTTTATGGGGGCATCTGGGGAGGCCTGGGGAAGAATCGGTATCGATTGTGCTCACATAGATGATGTACAAACACAACCTATTCCTTATTGTATCTCTTGCTTATAACCTCCAGCTACATAAGGATTCTCTAAGGGGAAGATCAACATTTTAAATAACTTGCTTAAGAAATTGGATAGTGGCTGCCTCGTAAAATTCTTGCCAGCTTTTACTAACCAAGGTCAGAAATGATTTGGCGGGTGACGCCCCAGATCAGAATTCAAACAACAAGACCCGTGACCTCATGCAGCCAGCCTCCACCCTGTGCTTTGCCAGACCAAGGTGGGGGGGTCCCTGCCTTCCCAACGCGGCCGCGCTCAGCGCTGCCGGCGCTTCCTATGGTCCCTTGCCTTGGGCAGAACTTGCCTGTGCTGATCGGGTTTGGCAGCAGCGCCCTCTCAGGCATATGATCTGAGTGGCGCGTAGTGAGGAGTGGGGGCAGGACGAGGACAGTGGGAAAGAAGCCTTTCAGACAATGCTGGCAGAGCATGTGAGCCGCCGGGCCCGGTGGGTGTCGGGGAGCAGAGCCTGGAGGGAGGAGAGTCGTCTGCTGGGAACGCAGGGGTCGTGGAGGAGCAACTCACAGGACGACTCTCCCGGCCGCTGCGCGGCTACTTGATGAACTCCTGATAGAACTCGGAGCGCACGAAGCGGGGCAGCGAATCCTTCTCCATCAGGGCGTGCACCCTCTTCTGGGCCACGTCGAAGCTGCTCGGCGAGGGCTCCACCAGGTTCCTCACTGTGATGTCCTTGGTGAAGTGGTCGATGTTCACCTGCGGCAGCAGACAGGCCGGTCAGGGCGGGCAGGGACGGGGATTTCCCCCGGAAAGTGAGGACCGTGCTTCTACTTCCTAGGTCGTGGGAAAGGCCGCTCGGGTTAGGACGTGGCCAGTTAGACACGCACCGGGCGTCAGGCCCCGCCGCTGTGCGCCTGCCGCGGCGAAGCCTCGGGCCCAGCACTCAGCCTTTCCTCTGCGGGGTGGGGGGTGGGGGGGTGGGGGTGCCTGCCTGTGAGAAGGTGAAGTGGCTTCTTCACAGTCACAGAGCTAAGGGGTGTGTTTGAATCCAGGTGCCCACGGGTCTCGCCTGGAGGCAGGCCATTTAATGAGGCCTCCGTCCTTAGACGGGGCCACCACCTGCTGGTGCTGGTAACTCAGACAGGTCCTACCCATGCTGAAACTGCATTCCCAGGGCCTCGTTTCCCTGACAACACCCATGTTTGAATGAGGGACTTGAGAACGTTTTCCAGGAACCCTCGCCTGGATTCCATGAAGAGGAACGGAGTTGGTGGGAAGGAAGGTTAAATTGGGGAATCCCAGGAAGTAGGGAACTGTGTGTCAGATTTAACACGGAACTCATGTCCGTGATGACATCATGAAGAGAGACTCATGCTGGAAGGGAAAGTGTGGCCAGAGCCCTGGCTCCTCCTCGGAGGCTGGGAGGCTGAGGGCGGGGGGGGGGGGGGGGCCTGCAGAGGAGCCCAAGCTAATTTCCACCGCAGCATGGAACCCCGTAATCCCCAGGACTCTCTCTTCCCCCTCTTGACCCACAGGCCCCTACACACCGTGCTCCTCCCTGCACTCCTGGAGGGGCTCACCTGTGGGTAGTAAGGTCTACGCGTGGTCCATACATTCAAACATCCACCTCTAAACAGGATTAGTGATGACTAATTCATAACCAGAGTCTGGAGAACGTATGGAGGAAAGGGATATCGGGGGAGCCCCTCGCATCACCTAGAGAAGATGGCTGCCCACCTACGGGCTCCTCGGACCACGCGGGGCTGGCTGCAATCCCCGACTGGGTGAAGGAGTGCAGCGTGGTCCTAGATCTGACCAACACCGAGCACAGCTGTGCTGTGGCATCCTGAGCCCACACAGAGCAGGTACCCGACCCCAGAGCTTCTCTGAAATCAACACACATCTGGTTGTTGGTGGCCAATTGATGGTAGCCTGTCTTCCAACTGTGCCATCTGGCAACAATCTGACTTCCGTGAGCAGGTACCCTGCTGCCCTGACCAGAGTATAAATGCATAAATGGGGGTGTAGACAAAGGGATGCAGGAGGGTGGAGGGGAAAATGAGTTTACATGGAAAGAAAGGGAAGGGAAGGGGAAGAGAGAAATGATAGGAGGTAGGAACACTCACTAGTGTTAACTAGTTGGGACTCTGACGTGTGTGCTTTCACATCCACAGCCTAATGCCATCCTGACAGCCCTGCCAGTTGTCTTCACTCCCCCTCTTTTTGAAGGAGGGCACTAGGTTCAGAGGGACCCGCTGACTCACTCAAGACCACACTCGGGTGTCACTGCTGCTGCTGCTGAGTGAGACCACGCTGCCTGCGCGTCCAGGCAGGATGGTCCCAGCTGCTTGGCCGCATTGCTCCGCCCCTGCACCCAGTAGGTGCTCAAGAAAGGTGGCCAAACCCCGTTTCCTAGGGGTGACCCCTTCCCGGGGCGTCGCTGAGGGAGCCTCACGGACCACGCTCACCCAGAGCCCCCCAGGACCCACCTCTTTAGGGGCCTCAGTCTGGATGAACTCTTCATAAATTTTCTTTGCCTTCTCAGCCATCTTGGTTGCTGACTTGGTCTTCTTGAAGTCCTCACAGGCCATCCAGAACTCCAGGTTCTCCTCACTGAATTCAGACTTCAGGAAGCTCTTGAAGCTGGCGAGTCCATCTAGCAAGGAAGAAGGTCATGGAGGAAACGGATCCAGTACCTATCATCTCCCTGTCCTCTGTCTCTCACCCACCTGTCACCTATCTGTCCGTCACTGTCCTGCTGTGGCCTGGGCTTCCTTACTACCGATCTCTGTCACTTAAGGAGGAGCCTTACAAATGTGAACGCGTGGACTTCCCATTACGAACCCAGGAGGCAGGAGTAATTAATCTCCTATCTTCCGGCCGAGGCCAGAGCGGCTCAGTAAGTGCCCTTAGGGAGCAGCTGGCAGGTGGCGGAGCTGGGGTGTCAGGCCGGTGTCCGTGTTGCGGAGAGGCTGACCAGCGTACGCATCCAGGGCGCTGTGACCTGGTGCACTTGGCACTCGCTCGCTTAGGATTCCATTAGAAACTGCATTGGAAACGGATTGGCAGTGAAAGTGACAGGAACGCTGACTAGCACCCCGTTTTCTCTTTCTACAGGTGATGTCTGCGTAGTTCAGGCGCTAGGATGAGTCATTATAAGTAAACAGACGGTTCTGCCAAAGGGAGCGGGTAGAATCTGGGGAAGCAGGAAAAGATGAAGAAACACAAAAAGCATGTAACAATGAAGGGGACACCAGGATCGAGGAACAGTGACAGAGGGGCCGCCCCTGCCCCCGCAGGAGGGGCCTGCGGTTCAGGCCTGAAGGGGGTGGGAGTGGCGAGGAACGTGCCACCGAGTAGTGACCGGGCCATCAGTCACACATCGATCTTTAAAACGTGTTAAAGGTATAGCCACACACAAACACGGGCCCGATGCCTCCTCTGCTGGTTTGTTGCTTGTGTCCTACCCTCCACTGTAACCGACACACGGCGGGCAGCAGCCGAAGTGGGGGAGGAGGCGCCCGCACGGAATAAAGGGACGCGCGTCTTCATGATCCTCCTCCTCTTTCGAGCTGACCGACTCTCTCTCTACAAACACAGATCTCAGGCAGCGATTCTAACAAGTCTGCATAGAGTCCACGTCCATTTATTACCTCAGGAAGGTCCCAAAGGGAGGAGCAGAGGTGCCAGCTGCACCGACCGTTCCCAATGGCAGCCGTGGTGACACGCGGCCCTCCCAGCGGAGCGGGAGTGACTGTCCCAGGACATCGGGCCGGTTTCCCCCTCACTTGCCCCATCAGCAGACCTTCCGCAAGCTCGTAGCTCTAGCTGGGAACATTTTCCTACTGAATTCATTTCCTTCCACCTAATTTCATCTGTTTCCCGTTCCTCGAGTTGGTCTCCTCCTTTTCACAGACTCTGTCCCTGCGTTAGTCGCTGCCAAGCACAGGGATTTCTACAACAGGCTGCAGCTCCGTGAGGGTTAAACCAGGACAGATGGGGTCCTGCTGTCAATAGCGGCTGGATACGTTCATGGTCTCCGTGCCCTGCGAAATCCCTGCAACCGCGTCCACCTCTAACGAGGCGGATGCTCCATGATAGCGAGCCTGGGCCCGGGCACCATGACCTGGATTTCAACAGACACTTCATGTCACCCCCTCCCTGTGCTGACCCTGAAAGCAGCTCCACTGCACACCTGAGAATACGCCTGGCGAGGGCAGCTCTGATAAGCAATGTCCTCTAGAAGCCTGGCTGGAAAGTCACCTACAACCGTCTCACTGGTGGCCCGGGCAGTGGGCGGCTCCCTCTCTCCCTCTCATTGCCTGCGGCTCGCTGCAGCCCAGGGCCGTGCTGTCACCCGCTGTGCTGCGGGAGCCAGGCCCACTTCTCCCCTCACCGTTCTCTGTTTCTTTTTTGTTTGTTCGTTTGTGTTAATCCTCACCTGAGGATATTTTTCTCGATGATTTTAGAGAGAGTGGAAGGGAGACAGAGAGACGGGGAAAGATGCGAGAGACACATCGATTGGTTGCCTCCTACATGCACCCTGACCAGGGATGGAACCTGCAACTCAGGTACGTGCCCTTGACTGAGAATCGAACCCTCGACCCATCAGTGCGGGGCCGACTCCCTAACCACTGGGCATACCGTCCAGGGCTCATGTTTCTTAAACAAAGGTGTCAGGTAGTCCCTGTGGGAATGGGAACCTTCCCAGGCACTTTCCAGCTGCCCGGAAGTGCGGACGGGACAGCCTGCTGAGTTCTCACAGGATCGGCTCTGAGGCCGGAGGACACAGCCTCACTGAGTCTGTGGCCAATTTCCTGCCGTAGCTCCATCGGGCACTCAGAGTTATTCTGCCTCTTTGTAAAAGGGAGAGAGAAAATTCCAGTGCCCCACACACCATTCATCCCGAGGACAGCGCCAGGATTCCCAGACGATGCTCACAGCGGAATGAGCTGGAAATACCCGTCTGGGCCTGGGCGCTGACGTCGCGGCGCGCACTGAACCCCACAATATTATTTCAAGGATTTTTGTCCATAGACGCACTTCAAGCCCAGAATCATGAAATGGCTTTGTGCTCTGTTGGTCTGGGGGTGTTTAAAGCTGTTCTTTCCTCATCTGGCTTCTGAGGATTCTCTGGCGGCCCCTACGAGGACCCTCTGACACCCTCCCCCCGTGTACCTTTCCCTCTTTAACCTCTGGCTCATTCCTCAGAGATGCTCTCTGTTACTCCTGGGGAAGTCCTGGTGGGTCTGACTTTAACAGACTCCAGACCACATGTCTCTATTCTGCAAGCAACACACGTGTCTTCTTTGCCCATCCCAGCCCCCGGCCCACTCCACACCCCAGTAGAGTCCCCTCCCCACATTCCTGACAATCTGCAGGCTGTTCTCTGCTGAGCTGCACAGCCTCCGACACCTCCTGGCGCACCTGGTCAGGCATCTGCCAGGAAGCCCAAGACCCGCCTGGTCCTCCCCTGGGAACCCTGGGCTGTGACGTCGGCGACTATCCCAGAGCCGCTCTAATGAGTGGGCCACACACACATGCACATATATGTTCCCCTCTGAGACGTAGAAACTATCACTGCAGAATCTCTGGCCTTAAGCTCACACCGGTTTGCAAACTGAAAGACTTTCAGTCCCTCAGCGGATGCTGAGGTGTTATCACCAACTGCCTCACTCGCCCTTCCCCCATCTTCTCATCCCAGGAGCTTCATCCCCCGAAGCCTAAACCACGAAACTACCCGCCCTCAGCGTCTGCCATGGCTGACAGGGAACCGTGCGCATTATACACCCCTTCTCCTCAATGGTTCTGACAACATGGAAATAGTTCTGCTAATTCTCAGGTTTCTGGACACCAGCAATAAACGCCCGGCCCCAGGGCACTTAGCTCACCATGCATCACTCTGCCGCCTCCCAGCTGGCTCCCGACCCAGAGCCCCTGCCGAAGACAGCGAGGAAGTCAGCTGATAAACATAAATGTTTTCCTCTTAGTTGACCTCGTGGAATTTTGGGTTTCAGAAGCAACAGGATTCATTATCACCCATTAGGTCACTAAACATTTATCGGGCACTCTATAGGTCAGGGCAGGACACTCTGTTTAGCACAAACCCTAAAAAGAATCAACAATGATTGAGAAAGTTCCAGATTGGAAGAGTTGGTGTTTTGCCTTGAGATGTTGAGCTGGTAAGCAGAAACTCTCCCACCCAAACAAGACAAAATATCCGTATACAGTTGAACACACATTATTTGTTATGTACTCTGCCCGTTAGTCATGAAGATCCTGTGAAAAGGTTTTTTAATCCTTGTTTTTGCAAAGCATCAAACAAAACGTCACATTCCATTCTTGCGGTGAATATGGGGAAATACGGGTTCGATATCTTAGGTAGAATAATGTCTAGAGTGAACTATTCAGCAAATATTTATTTTCCACATACTGTGCACTTCCTGTTGTAAAGTAATGGGGGTCAGAAGGCCAAGGCCTAGCTGCCCAGGCGTTTGTACTCTACAGGAGGAGGGAAACGACTCTAAACGGAACACAGAGTAGCACATGTTGAGCTGAGTGGCCAGCGTTAAGGGGCACAGACAATGTGCAGACAAATGTGTCTGGAGGCTCAGAGGCGGCGGGAAGGGCAGGCCCCGTCTATGCACTTTGACAGGAGAGGGCGGTTCCCGCAGGAAAGATGTGATGCAAAGCAGTGACTGCAAGGGGCTCGCCCGTGGGAAGCCGGGAAAGCCGGCCGACGGGGCAGGCGGTGTGATGGCAGACCAGCCAGAGCACCGTGGAGAGTCTTGAACATTGGAAATGGCACTCGATCCCGTCAGCCTTGGGAATGCGCGGGATATGGTCAGGGGAAGTGTGCCCACGTGCACTGGCATTGCCTGGGCAGCAGTTCTCGCTGACACCTCAGTCATGGCTGGAAGGAAGCTCTGAAAGGCATGCTGCCAGCGGGGAAGCCGGGCTGGGCCACCACAGCCCCGGTCAGAGGGTCACAGAGCATGAGCAGCGCCCGGGCCCCACGTCCATGGGCTGACCCTGCTCTCAGTCCTTATTAGCCCACCACAGGCTCAGCTGCAAGGACAGGGCTCCTTTCCTGATGAACATTCGAAGGGGCACACGGCCAGGACACGTGCACACAGGGCAGCGGACAGGACATGAACGTAAGCTGGCTCTCAGGACACTCACCCTCCCGTCCTCACCACACCCCTCGGCACCCGCCCTTGCTGAGGTCGCTTTGGAAATTTTAAGAAACGACCAAGTCAGGGGGAAGGGATGCGGCCTTGGGATGCGTCCCCTCCTCCAGCCCTCGTGGCTCTGGTCAGACCCAGTGGGGACTTACAGCTGCTCTGCAGGAGCTTGTCCAGGGAGTCGCGCCACTGCAGGGCCTCCTCCGGCGACGGCCTGGGTCGGGGAGACAGAACGAGGCGACGCCGTTAGTGGGCACAGACACCAGCAGCCAGGCCCGTCCACAGCACAGGGAGCCGGAGCTGCTCTCCTGCCCACACTGCGTGTGCTGAGGGGGCTTCCCTCAGCGTCTGTCTGTACACGTTCACCTCTTTTTGGACAATGTGGTCAGGTCTGTCCCTTCTTAGACGTGGAGTCTATTTGCCACGGAGCTGTGTGGTGGTTCGTGTACATTCACGGAAGTGTTTTTTCCTAAACGTAACAATGAAAGCCTGGGTCCCCGCAGGGATAGCCCACGTTCTCGTCCCACCGTGCCCGCCAGCCACCTGGCTCGGCCCGCGAAGGGCACGGCCGCCACAGCAGGGCCGCCGCCACCTCCTCGGGGCCTCTGGACGATGGAACGTCTCTGTGGCGAGTCCACACTTTAAAAATCTGGGTGCATTTTCCCTGCCCAGTGAGGACCGGCTAGTGCCTGAGCAAGGGCCCCTCTTCTGAGGAGCAGTGTGGTTCCCACGAGAGCAGGAGCGGCACAGCCCTCCTGGCGGACTCCCAGGAGACCAGCCAGTACCTGACTTCCCCGCGGGTGGTCACGGTCAGGCTGGGCTGGCTGGGGCCTCCTGGACTCACCTGCTCTAAGGCTCAGGTTACAACGTGACTTCCTCATCATCACATTGCATCAAGGCAGACAAACCAGGCCTTCATGAGCATAGTGAAGCCAGTTAAAGGCGTTTTCCTAAATAGGAGTTTCCTTAGCTCTTGTGTACCTATTGTTCAGACAGTCCAGGAAAACTCCTGCTTCTGGTTTTAAACACAGTATCCTAGGGCTTTAATTGTTCAGACTGGCAGCGAGGTGGATGAGGGGATGCTACCACTAGCTTTGCTGCCTGAGCTCACGTCTGGCCTCCATTTTTGCTGGGAGTGAGGTGGCCGTGGAGTTTTGAGCTAAAGTGCTAGAATAACTTGTTCGAATCTGCCTGCCTCCCGGCAGAACATGTACAGATTTGGAGTCATAATTCTGTGACTTTTCATAGAGTTTTAAGTTTTTACTACTGAGAGTAGCAATTCTGGTGAAATACTGTTAGGGGTTTCTTCTTTTTTCCTGGCAAGAAGCTTAGGCATCAGAGATAGAAAATGCTCATTCCTGGGGATTTAATTCTGCAAGCGACCCCCTTCCCGCCCCGGGTGCTGGAGCGCAGGAGGGGACGGGGTGGGAAGCGGGCTTGCCAATGTGTCCCTTTATTCTTCTGTCTCATTTTTTTTCTACCCAGAAAAGGACCTGGTTCCTAGTGGCCTGAACCCTCCTGGCTCTCTGTGCCCCCCCACCCCCCGCACCCCCTGAGAGCCGGTCCTGTTCTGCTTGATTCACGCCGACATTTCTGACCGAGGCTTCCACACCTTCCCTCCCTCCATGGTGAGTGAGGTGTTGCATATTCTAGAAGCCCACCGAGCCTCCGTGGATCGTGGGTAGATACAGCAGGACATGAAACCATTGGATGAAAGGAACAGGCCTGCCTCACACCCGGATCCTCCCTGATTATGTGAATATTCTCCTGAAGCGACATCACCTCCCCTGTCCTTGTTCATGTGATTAAATTCTTGGAAAGGACACGTGCACAGCCCACTCAGGGGCTGGATTAGTGCAAACTGATCTGGGGACGCAGCCAAGCAAGACTCATGCCCGCAGCCCGAAGCCCAGGCTGTGATGAGCGCGGGGGGGGACGCAGGCTCGTCCTGCCTGATTCTCAGAATCTGCGGCCTCGTTAAGCCTGACTTCTTGGGAAACAACATGGATGCAGCTCTGATGACCACCGAGGGCGCTGGTCTGCAAGGCTGTGGCTGAGCGCAGCGCTGGACGTGCGCCTCCTGCGGGTGTGGCGGGGGAGCTGGTCC